CAGGATATGACAAAATAATAATTTATAAATTATCAAGGGTTCATGAAGGAGGGGAGAGCAGGGAGGGAGGGGGAAAATGAGGAGCTTAAGTGGAGAGCAAATGTTTTGAGACTGATGAGGGCAATGAATGTACAAATGTGCCTTACACAATTGATGTATGTATGGATTGTGATAAGCGTTGTATGAGCCCCTAATAAAACGATTAAAAAAATAAAAATAAAAACAGAATAAACATGGGCTAGGAAATCAAAAAGAGTTGGGCTTGAATCTAAACTTTGATCACTATTAATGCATGACTTTAAACTCTCAGAGCCTCAATTTGTATAATAATGCAAAATGAGAATCACAATAACACAAACTTCTTAAAGTTGTTGTGATGAGTAAAAAAGTGAACATTTCTAGTTTGCAGGGAGCCCTACATAAATAAATAGTACTAAGCAATGACTACATTAAAAACTCCAATTCATGATGGACGTATAAGCCCTCCCCCCAATAAGGGGGGCGATCAACAGAAATGTGGGTGAAGAGAGACAGCGGGCCCTGTAAGATATGAAAATAATAATAATTTATAATTTATCAAGAATTCACAAGGGTTGGAAAACGGGGGAGGGTGGAAAAAGAGAAGAGCTGATACCAAGGACTTAAGTAGACATAAAATGTTTTGAAAATGATGGCAATATATGTACAAATGTGCTTGATACACCTGATATATGGATTGTTATAAGAGCTGCAAGAGCCCCCAATAATAAAAAAAAAAAGACACACATACACACAAAATACTCCAATTCAGTCATGCCTGTAGGTAGTAGTCAAAAAGTATACTGCAGATGTGTCTGGGATAGTGTAAGGCACAAGTAGCTAAGAGCCACATGGTTCTATCTCTTTCCTCAAACCAATTATACAATCATGTAACGAGGAATGGCAGACTTGGATAAGTTTGTGGAAAGTGGAATGAAAACACCTTCCATAGGGGATCTCCATGACCAATCTGTCAGAACCTCCAGAACTAAGGAATTGCAATAAGGACGACCACTGCCACAGAGTTCATTCCGACTCCTAGGAACTTGTGAGGCAGAGCAGCACTGCTCCCTGGGGTTGCTGAGGTCTCAAACCATGACGACAGCAGAAAGCGTCCTCCTCCTCCTAACCAAGAAAGATTGAGAAGCGAACATTTTCCCTCTCTGGAAGTAAAAAAGAATCATCTCTATAATAAATTCATTCGGCCATAATACTCTTGGTGATATAGAAAATATAGTTTAATGCAAGAGATTCTTTGCTCTAAACATTCACTAAATACTTTTGAGTCTTAATTCACTCAAAATTCTACTTATGAAAATGATGCTTTACCAGCTCCCTCTTCATTTTTTCATTCAGGAAATTTAAACTAATCTTTAAAAGCAATCCACATTACTGAGAGCATACTAACGTGAGAATTCCATGGGCTCTCTCCAGGAGTTTGCTGCTAGTTGTATTAGCGAATATCCCATCTTTGTCAAGCAAGGAGCTACTACTTGATAATCTGCTTTGCCGGATCCCCGTTCTGCCATTCCAGGCAATGTCAAATGTATCACTGTTAGGAATAAATGAAATGTGCTTTAGTTTATTAAGTAATTCTGTCACACTCTCTAAACTGCTTCCATAAATAAAATAAAACTTCATGTACTAAGTTATATTTTAGAAAAACTACTAAGCCAGCAGAAAACCAAAGCCAGTTTTTACAACAGAAACCAGTAATGATAATACAATATAAAATATAGAATATATTTTACAAACATATTGTAAAACATATTTTACAATATAAAATAGCAATGGGAGAGGGAAAATGGAGAACAGAATTTCAAATTCTCCTAAAATCCATTCCTTCCGGAGTCAAGAAAGCTGAATAAACCCCTAAAACAAATTGCCCTGAGATAATCTTTGTACCTCAAAATTTCCCTTTGTGAATTCTTAAAACCAAACAATTGGTATGTTGAGTAATGACGATTAAATATATATATATATATTTTTTTTTTTAATAAAGGATTAATAGGGAGCTTTTCTGGGAAAGCATATAGACTGAATATATATTTAGATTCCTCTAGAAACCTCCTAAAACACTAATAAAATCTTTTAAATCAATAATAATATCAGAATAAAGATCATAAGCGAAATAACAATAACAATACATTTCTGAAATACAGTCAGATGACTGAGTAGTAAACATGAGACCCCAATCCTACAATGGCTCTAAGGGAAACTGAAAAGAGAGCCCATTTACTCAACAGAACACCAACAGATCCAGAATTGTTGATACAGAATTCCTTCTTTCATGACTTTGTTTGGGCAATGGTTTCTTTTTCTCTCTCGCTGTTTTGGGGTTTTTTTTGGAAGAGTGGGGCGTGGCAATGATTTCTTAAATACAACAACAAAAGCACAAGCAAGAGAAAACAGAAAGAAAAACTATGAAGTTGAACTTCATAAAAATTTTTAAATGTTTGGATTCCAAATGATATTTAAAAAGTGAAAAGAAAACACAGAGTGAGATACAATATTTCAAATCAAATATCTGATAAGGGACTTGTATCCTGATTATAAAAATGGCTCTAATAACTTAAGAAGAAAACAGTATCACAAAAGGCAGTCAAAGAGTGCTTAGAATAGAAAGAAATTAACAATTGACATTTGCAACAACCTAGATGGGTCTCAAGTACACCATGTTAAGTGGAAAACTTTACTTCAAAAGGTCATAACTGTACTGTTTAAATGAAATATGTAGAATATGAAAATGCTTAAGGTACATGCTTATTAGTGGCTACCAGGGACTAGAGGAAGGAGGGGATGGGAAGTTATTGCATAAAGGGTTACTGTGATTGTTTGAGATGACAAAAAAATTTGGAAGCATGTAGACAGTGGTGATAGTATGACAAAATCTGTACATCCGTCAACTTCCTGAACTAAGTGTACACACACAAATGAGTATAGGAATAATGGTGAGAATGCAGTCTAGTTCATACTAAAGTATCAATAGAAATGTCCTAGTTTTAATGTAGACAACTATACCAGGGGCCTAGAAAAGAATCATAGAAAATACACATTATAAAAAAAACTGCATGAATTTTAAAATGTTCTGCACCAAAATAAACTCATGTTAACTTGTTATAACATGTCTAGACATATCTCTTTGAGGTACTAAGAAAGATAAGACATCAGTTTGAAGAAAAACAAAAACACCCTATGTACAATGCCCAGAGAAATTCATTTTAAGAGAGATCTAGACCAATGGTTCTCAACCTTTGTAATGTCACGACTCTTTAATACAGTTGCTCATGTGGTGGTGACCCCCCCAACCATAAAATTATTTTCGTTGCTACTTCATCACTGTCATTTTGCTACTGTTATGAATCGGGCGGCTCCTGTGAAAGGGTGGTTTGGGCCCCAACGGGTCACGACCCATAGGTTGAGAACCGCTGGTCTAGATGATCTTAAAGATACAGCCTACAGCACAGACCATTCACACCAATTTGTGAGGAAGCAATTATTCTTATTCCTGCCCTAATTGAAACAAAAGCCATAGGCATCTCAAATGGTTTAGCTTTGCCTAATTCTGACTGAGAAGTTGAAGTTGAACAGACTTTCTGCTAAACCAATGCCAAAACTGTTATACCCAGATCAGCTGCTGTCAAGAGCACAGCTATCAATGGAAACTACACAAGAAGGATCCAGAATTAGAAGCATACATGGAAGAATGGTAACAGGAGATGAACATGGCTTGACCAGTACAATCCTGTCAACAAAACACAATCAAAGCAGTCAAACACAACAGACCACATATTGCAGACACCAATTTAAAGAAGGAAAGCAGATGCATTCACAAGAAAAATATGATTAACGCAATACAAATTTTTTTAAAAGGACATGAACAGAGAATTCAACAAAGAAGTCATCCAGGCATCCAACAAACATGAAGAAATGCTCATCATCACCCAAGAAATGAAATCAAAATAGCGATGCGATATCACCGCATACTGACATTGACAGCAAAGTTTAAAGAAAAGCCGTTATTAAACATGCTGGAGAGGACACAGTGTAAAGAGAGACGGCATGCCTCATCCACTACTGGTGGGACTGTAAAACTGTGTAATCACTGGGGAAAGCAGTGTGGCACTTCCTCCAACAACTGGGAATGGAAATGCCATCTGCCCCAGCAACCCCGAATGAAGTAAGAGCTGTAACACAGACAGGGACATGCACACTCGCAGCACTATTTATAATAGCTAGAATACTGAAACAGCCTAAATGCCCATCAGGGGAAGAATGGGTAAATTTTGGTATACACACACAATGGAATACTCTGCATTACTAAAGAATACTGATGAAACTGTGAAACATCTCAAGACATGAACGGATTTGAAAGGATTATGCTGAATGAAGTTAGTCAATCACCTAAGGACAAATATTGTAGAAAACCATTTATTATACAAGAAAAAAAAACAAGAAACATAATTTTGTTAACTGCCAGGGCTGAGAATGAAGGCAGGGGAAGCAATAGACAAGTGTTAACTTGGTGAAGGGAAAGAGTATTTTAACAAGAGAAAGAAGAGGTATGTAAAAGGAGGCACGGCAAGCTATTAGGTAGTTTGGTTAGTAGTTTGAGTTATGGAATACATATTTGATTATATGAAATGTAAATCAACTCCTTCAACAATTAAAAAAATTTTAGATTTAGGGTTACTTAGGGCTGGTAAGTGTGGAAACAGTTAATAGATACAAAATTTCTTTTTGATGTGATAAAATTTAACATACAAATGTGCTGGACTTCATCATTACCAAAGTAGAAGCTTTAAGGAAACAAAGGGCAGGCATAGTAAGGATAGCAAGAAATGTGGATTTGCTGGCATTTAACTAAATAAAGTTGGCTAAGGCCAAATGCTTAAGAATTATCTTAAATGTCAGTTGAGTGAATACAGACAACTTTTAGCAAACAAAGAATTATTAAAAAGTTATTAAGCAGATAATCGATAACATATTAGGTAGACATTAAGTCAAATTGGAAGACATTACCAATGAAGTGACAAGTTCAACTTAAATACAGAAAATTCTTGTTAATTACCATACTGGACATTGTGAAGACCAAATATCTTCATGTTTATAATATTAAGAGGAGATTCGAGAAACTAAACAATGTTTCTCTTACTCATATAAACAACAGCCTTTATGTAATAGTGTGTGTAAAAGACAAGGAAATTCTATTAGAAAATTTAAAAGTGAATTTTTTTATTTTTCTCCCAAGTTCCCTTCAAGGCATCATCATTGAAGATGCTACATAGTAAGCTCTGGTTACCACAGCCACCATAAAAGCTCTGATGTAAACTAGTGATGCAAGTATTACGTACAAATAAGATTTCTTCGCACTCAACAAAGCAGAATAACCCTGAAATTTCCCAAGAAATATAAAATGCAAGAAAGGTCTGAGAAATAAAAACATAAGAACTCATTTTTAATATATTTGCAGGAAACCTTTTAAAACAGAGTAACCCCACTAGAGGGAACAGAATGGCAGGTGAATGGATATACTGGATGGTGTAAGATGCGGCAAAGAACCAAACCAACCTGAATAGTCAAGTTACCTGAGGTCTTCTTGAACAATTGTCTCACAGGTTTTGTTAACTCTTAGCTTATTACTACTTTGTTTCTTCACCATTTCCACAAACCAAGGCTTATTTTCTTGTAATTCTTAATGCCATATGAAAATATCATTTCTTCTATATTTCCTTAAAAACATAACCCAAAACATACTTACTGTTGGTTTTTTTCATTTAGAGTATTCATGCCCTGGAGATCAGACAGAGGTGTTCTGGGATTTTTCCGGGTTATACCTAGCAGATCAAAAGCAGAGATTTTCAAATCAGTGCTAAGAAAAGCTAAACACAAAACAATTTTATTGTGAGTAAGTTAAATTAATGTACTTCAATAGTAAATAACTGCTACCCGTGTCAGAAATGTAAAAATCAGTTTATTTGTCCAAATTCCGGCTAAAATGATCCATCTTTTTAAGCAACTTATTAGAGTAACCCAAATGACATAATGCTAGGCTGGTACAAACTAACTCCCATGACTGTCACTTAGAAATCTGATGCTAAATAGGAACTGAATTAGAGGACTTAATATTGAACTCTTTTATTTATTCTCTCATTTAATTAAAATTAAGAAAGTACATCTTTTTCTAAAGGTCTAAAAGCATTTGAATTCTTCTTTATACAATAAAAAAATTACAATCTCACTCTGATGCATGATTCTTTAAGCAATATAGACTATAGGTTTTAAAAAATCAATTAATCTCACAAATACAATGAGAATCAAAAGGACAAATTAATTTTAAAAAATTAAGCTCCATAAACATACAGCTATCAACTTTCATAGCACACATAAACCATTAAATAGTTAAGGTACATTTCAAAGAAACAATTTTGATGATCTCTATTTGCTGATGACATAAACTTATACATAAATGATCCTAAGGTATCCATTAAAAATGTATTAAAGTGAAAAGAACCATTCTTTGATGGTTACCAAGGGTGGGAAAGGAAGGAAGAGAAATCATTAACTAGATAGAGCAGGGGTCCTCAAACTTTTTAAACAGGGGGCCAGTTCACTGTCTCTCAGACCATTGTAGTTAAAAAAAAAAAAAGAACAAATTCCTATGCACACTGCACATGTCTTATTTTGAAGTAAAAAAACAAAATGGGGCAAAAACACCCGGCGGGCCGGATCAATGTCCTCGGCGTGCTGCATGTGGCCCGCAGGCCGTAGTTTGAAGACCCCTGAACTTAACAAGAGTTAATTTGGGTGACAGGGAAAGCAAGATAAAATAAGGAGAAACTTGGCAAAAAATTATGGAGGCAGGGGAACACTATGGGAGGTATGCAAGAATTAAAGGCAACACAGGTAATTACTGATATGTACACAATCTTGCAACAGAAGGTAATCTATGAATAGATGGTTGGCTAAACATACATGTTGAATGTGTGTGTGTGTGGGGGGGGTATACCTGACACAAGATATTTGTAGATGTGTATTTATCTCTGCTACATATGTATCTATAAATGGGGTGGAGTATACAAGGGGCAAAGTTGTGAAAACTTCTTAGATATAACCAAATACCTTGAGGGAGTAAGTCACTGTGTCTGAGGAATCAAGGCTATAGTCTCAGGGGACACCAAGGTAAACTAGCATTACATACTTCACCAAGACAATATGTACAAGGAGAGGAGGGAAAAGAAAAGGTAGAATGTTTGATGATACATGACAGAAAGTTTCCCTTATGTGATGAAAAACATTAATTTCGATATTCAGGAATGTCAACAAACTCAAAGAGATCCACACTGACAAAAATCATAATCAAACTGCCAACATCAAAGACCAAGAAAGAATCTTAACAGCACCTGAAGAAAACATTCATTCTTACAGTGTAGTTCAACAGAAGAAAAGCAACTAATATACCATAGTAACAGAATAAGAGAAAACCACGTTTCAATTAAAGAAGGAAAAGTATTGGACAAAAGCTAACAATTGATATGGGAAAATATTAAGCAAATTAAGGCTAAAAGTAAATTTCTTCAACACTTGTTGATGAACATTTATTTAAAAACCACAACTCACACCTAAAGGTGAAAACCCCCCTAAGGTCAGAAATAAGACAAAGATGCCTCCTTTACCAAAAACCAAACCAAAATAAACACCACCACCCCCAAACCCAAATGTATTGCCATTGAGTCAATTCTGACTCATAGGACCCTATAGGACAAGATCGAAGGGTCCCTTTGGATTCCGAAACTATAACTCTTTACAAGAGTAGAAAGAGCCTAATTTTTCTCCCATGGAGCAGCTAGTGGTTTTGAACTACAGACCTTGTGATTTGTACACCAAAGATAACCCATTCCACCACATGGGGCTCTCATATACAATGTACAGAAATTCCTAGGCAAAGCAATTAGGCAAGAAAAATAAAAGGTATAAAAATTGAAAAAGAACAAGCAAAATGTCCCTATTTAGAGAGGGGATGATCTCATGTATATGTTTTGTTGTTGGGTGCCAGTGAGCCGGTTCTGACTCATAGAGACCCCATGTACAATAGAACATGATACTGGTTGGTCCTGTGCATCCTCACAAATGTTCTTATTTTGACCCATTGTTGCAGTCACTGGGTTCATCTATCTTGTTGGGGGGCTTCTTCTTTTTTCACTGCCCCTCTATTTTTACAAGCATGATGTCCTTTTTCTAGGCATTGGTTTCTCTTGACATGCTCAAAATACTCGATTAGTCTTGCTACTGTTTCCTCTACGGAGCATTCTGGCTGTCCTTCCACGGCAGACAGATGTCTGTTCTTTTGGAAGTCCATTGCACTTTCAATATTCTTCGTCAGATTCACATTCAAGCGCCTCGATTCTCTACTGGTCTTCCTTATCAATGTCCAGCGTTTACACGCCTATGAGGCAACTGAAAATACTATGGCTTGAGTCAGTGTGCTTTAGTCCTCAAAGTAACCTTCTTGCTTTTCAACACTCGAAAGAGCTCTTGGGCAGATGATTTACCTAATACAATTTATCATTTGATCTCTTGATTACTGCTTGCATGAGCACTGATTGTGGATCCAAGGGAGATAAAATCCTTGACTTCAATCTTTTCTCCATTTATCATAATGTTACCTATTGGTCCAGTGGTAAAGTTGCAATCCTTATCTTCATCAGCAGGTGCTTCAAGTCTTCCTCACTTTCAGTAAGAAAGGTTTTGTCATCTGCATATGGCAGGCTGTTAATAAATAAGCCTTCCTCCAGTCCCAGTCTTCTTCACATAATACAGTTTCTCTCATTATTTGCTCACCAAAGATTGAATAAGTAGACCTTTCCTGATTTTAAACTACGCAGTATTCTCTTGTTCTGGTCACACAACTGCCTTGAACGTTTGTCCAAGTTCTGCATGAGCACAATTAAGTGTTCTGGAAATCCCATTCTTCTCAAGGCCATCCATTGTTTGTTATGATCCACACAGTCAAATGCCTTTGTATAGTCAATAACAATGCTATGCCTAAGGTTTTCAGTGACTAATTCTTCTGAAGTGGACTCCTTAGTCATCAGGTCTTAGACTGGAAGCTCTACAGAAATCTGCTCACTTTGGGTGACCCTGCTGGCATTTGAAATACTTGTGGCATAGGTTCCAGTATTACAGCAACACACAAGCCGCCGCACTATGACAAACTGCCAGACAAGTGATGGAATCTTACATATACAGTATACCAAAGAATTCAGACAAAAAAACTAACAGAACAAATTAATTCGACCCAGTTAAATGATAAAATTATAACGCATAGAAAATCAAGAGTTTTCTATACATCAGCAATGAATTTAAGAAGGAAACTAAGAAAAGAATTCCATTTACAGTAGCATCCAAAGAAATAAAATACATAGAAATACATTTAACCAAAGAGGTGAAAATTACATCAAAAACTACAAAATATAGCAAAAGGAACAATTTATGTTTAAGACCTAAATACATGAAAAGACATATCCCATTTCATGATTAAAATACGTAATATTGTTTAGGTGAAAAATACATCCAAAGCAGCCTACAAATTTGTCCCAAGTTTGTTTTGTCTCAACTTGGCTGGGCCAAGTTTGCAGTTAAAACCCAGTAATCTACCATGAAGAGACTACTATGAGTAGCCAATCGAGGGGAAGGAAGTTCCCTCAAGGGCGTGGCCTGCTACATGAGTCCTAAGGAGAAGCCTTCAGCCTAATACCTGATCCACACTTTTAGAACTTGCTGACTTCTAAAACTGTTTTTATATATACATATGTAAAGATCACTGGTTTTGCTTTTTAAGAGAAATACAATTATCTGTTGTGCAGAAATGGAAAATCTGATCCTCAAGTTCATGTGAAATTGTAAGAGACTCCAAATTTTCAAAATAATATTTAAAATGAAAGAAGGGTCATACATCCTCATTTAAGAACTTACAGCACAGATACAATAATCAAAATATTGAGGTGCTGACACAAGATGAGACACATTGAGCAATGAAACAGAACTGAGAGTCAAGAAATTAACTAATCTTTTTATGGTCAGTTCATTTTTAGCATAGCTGCCAAGATCACTCAATGGGATAAATAGTCTTCACCAAAAATAGAGTTAGGATAATAAAATTTCCACATGCAAAAGAATCAACTTGGACTCCTCCCTTCACAGAATATAAAAAAATAAACTCAAAATAGAGCAATAATCTAAATATAAGAGCTAAGACTATGAAATTCATCAATTATACATATCTTTTTATGACCTTGGATAAGATACCTAAAACATGAGCAACAAAAGAACAAATATACATATATATGATTAAATCAAAATTAAAAGCTTTTGTGAGACAAAAACATTATCAATAATAGGAAATGCAACATAAAGAATAAAATAAAATATCCAGCATATATCTGATAAGGGTTTAGAATATATAAAGGCAAGTGTGTTTCTACTAGGGTTTCAGTTCATACAAAAGTGGGTTTATTCCAAGCATGCCATGTTTAAATATCTCTCTGCAATCAGTGAATGGCTATAAACAAATTTTCTCAGTAAAACACTTGTCTTAATCTCATTAGGATGCTCCCCACCCCCACCAAAATGTCTAGCAAAACAATGGCTTTCTAGGCTCAGAGGTCAGCTCATGTTTTTCACTTTGTTTTGTTTTCCTGAGGGAGGAGGATCCCAAGGGGGCCATCTTGATATTCTGGATGGATACGCAATGGTTGTGGACCTTGTTAAGAACAAGTTGTAAGAAAATTGAAAACTGTATTGGTGAGGGAAAGGTCAGGAAAAGTTGTGCTGAGGT